CCCTCCCACCCCGGGGTTATTTTAAAATATTGTTATTTGTTGTTGTTATCTTTGGAGAAACTGAGTTAAAAGTTTAGTAAGAAGACTGAATACAGTTACAGTTGCACCTGCCTGCAAGAGAGGCAAGAGAGGAGGATTGTGAATTTGAGGTCAGGCCAGGCCATGATACATAGTAACAAGCTAGCCTGATTATATAGCAAGACACTAATTTTTAAATTTGCAACTGAGTAATTAGAAAGAAGGAAAGAGTCGGGAGGTGGTGGCACAGGCCTTTAATCCCAGCACTTGGCGGGCAGAGGCAGGTGGATTTCTGAGTTTGAGGCCAGCCTGGTCTACAGAGTGAGTTCCAGGACAGCCAGGGCTACACAGAGAAACCCTGTCTTGAAAAACCACAAGAAGAAGAAGAAGGAGAAGAAGGAGAAGGAGAAGGAGGAGGAGGAGGAGGGGGAGGGGGAGGGGGGGGGGAGGGGAGGGGAGGGGAGCGGGGGGGGGGGGGAGGGAGAGGGAGAGGGAGAGAGAGAGAGAGAGAGAGAGAGAGAGAGAGAAAGAGAGAGAGGAAGAGAGAGAGAGAGAAGGAAAGAGGGCCCTGGAAATGGCAGAGACATCAGCGTGTCTGATGTGCAAGGATAAGGTCTGGGGGTCAGATCTTCAGCACCTACATACTGTATGGATGCAGTGGTGCGCATCTGTAACCCCAACACTCAGAGGGTATAGAGAAAAGCAGACCTTTGGAGCTTACTGCCAACAAGTCTACCCGATCCAGCTTCAGTGAGAGACCTTGTCTCAGAAAATAAGGAAGATAGCATTGAACATAGAAAACTGAAGTCAACCTCTGTGCTCCACACATGTGAACACACATGCACCTTCATGCACACCCATGTGCGCACACGCACACAGACACACACATACACACACACACACACACACAGGCTAAAAGAAGGAAAGCTGACAAACTGAGTCATCAAGGACTAATTTCATAGAATTCAGGATTCCTTTGAGACTGCCTTTAGCCTTCCATTAGTCTGACCTTAAGAACTAATTTCATGCTGGGCAGTGGTGGTGTACGCCTTTAATCCCAGCACTTGGGAAGCAGAGGCAGGCGGATTTCTGAGTTCAAGGCCAGCCTGGTCTACAGAGTGAGTTCCAGGACAGCCAGAACTACACAGAGAAATCCTCTCTCGAAGAAACAATAAACAAAACAAAACAAAAAAAAGAACTAATTCCATTTAGTCAAAAAAGAGCATTAATGTTGGATTAGGATTGGGGTTAGGGTTGGGGTTGGGGTTGGGGTTGGGGTTGGGGTTGGGGTTAGGGTTAGGGTTGGTGTTAGGGTTAAAGACTTTATTTCCATCACACTACATAGCAATAGTATGAGAATAATCGCAGTATTTCCATCCCTCCGGTTGAGAAGTTTAGTGTGAAGTGGTTAATGCTGGAAGACTATTTCTTGATATGGTAGCCAGCATGCAGTGGTGCTGATGCTCATTCAAACCCATATTTGCAACCATCCTTTGCTCATCATCCTTTGGCCTCCTACCTACTTATTATCTTTTATAGTGGTTATGGATAGATGTACTCTGGAATAAACACTGCTCAGAATTAGCTCAGAAATAATTGGCCTTCAGCACAACTGCTGTTAGCTACACTGGACTTAGCAGCAACTGGACATGTCTCCTGTCTTGAGACATGTTCTTCACCTGTCTCCAGGAGACTCTTATGGTGTTATCCTCATCATCTGATATGTAGAGGTAGGTGACCGTTGAGCTTTCATTCTTATTCATCTAGTCTTATACAATGTAATGGTTAATTTTGATTTACAATCTGATGAGATGTAGTATCACTGTGGAAAGACACCTCTGGGTATGAGTAGGAAAGTTTTTACCAGAAAGGTTGAGCAGAGCAGTGAACATGCATGCAAAATGTTAGTAAGGAACTTGCCATGGTCTGAGGTCTCTGACGAAATATAAAGAAGAAAACCTTCATTGCACTGACATTCACGTGCTCTGACTTTCGCCTCTCTCTGCTTCTGGACTGGAAGTGTGATTTAAGCAGCTGTCTCATGCTCTTGCTGCCACGAGGTTGCCTCAGACAGTGACCCCAAAAACCCCTTTATTCATTAGTGTAATCTCATCAGATAGTCTATTACAGCAATGAGAAATGTAACCAGTACCCCCAGGCTCTGCAGCTCCCGTCTGCTTCCACAGAGTTCTGTGTTATCTACATGTCTGCACGTTCCTTAGTCATTTCTAAGTCAAACCACTCCTCGGAACACTCACTGAGTGTCTCCAGGGGTGAATTGAACACTTCTGCTTCGACAGAGGACGAGCATCTCAAACCTAGCTCATCCAAAACTCAGCTCCTGAGGGCATCCATCTTAATCCTCTTAGTCCATAGTCTTCCTTGGACCGAAGCAACTCGAGAATTTTAGTCGTTTGGTCATGGGCTTTTGAGTTAGCAATAACTCTTTCTGTAAAACCCTGTTCAACCCAAAAACAAATATTGCTGGTCTTGCCTTCAAAATATATCCAGAGATGTCTTCTTCTCACTCCCTATCACAGAACCTTCCCAAAGGCCCCGACTCAGCACTTTATTCTGCTCCATTTTCCTAATTACTTACTACTGTTTAACATATTATGCTATGCTTATTGATTTTAACTTTGTTTCATGTAATTTTTGGTCTATCCATTTGCTTGTTTTTGTTTTGTTTTAAGACACGGTTTCTCCGTGTAGCCCTGGAGCCCTGGATGTCCTGGATTGTACTCTGTTGACCAATCTGGCCTTGAACTCAAAGACTCACCTGCCTCTGCCTCCCAAGTGCTGGGTGTGTGCCACCACTGCAGGGTGGTCTGTTTATTTTCTAATTTTTTAAGATGAAAAGAGCTTCACAGAGGGAAGAAGTGTGAGTGTGTGTGTGTGTGTGTGTGTGCTGTGCTGTATGTATGTGTGTGCACATGGGTATGTAGGTGTGCTGGAGAATATGCACATGTCTATAGGATCAAGGTCAATGTCAAATCTCTTAATAACCCTTCTCCTCATTTTCTTAGTTCATGTCCCTCATTCCACATGGAGCATGCCATTCCACCATACTGGCTGTCCAGCCAGCTCCTAGCATCTGCCTTTCTCCCCAGACCTCCTGCCCAGACCTAGTGTTACAGACATGATTGAATGCATGTGTGTGTATGTGTGTGTGTATGAGGGGGTTGGGGTTCTGATGGATCTGCATGCTTATGTAGCAAGCATTTGGGCTATTTTACCTACTGGAGAATTTTCTCTCTTTGCTTCAGGGCTGTAGTTCCTAGACCTGAAGCTGCCTGGCACCACCTAGTAGCTGCTCAAAACAGATTTGTTATGAGATGGGTTTGTGAACCAATTCTTCAGCTTACGTAGACTGAGATGTGTAAAAGAATGCCCAGGGCTGGGGAGATGGCTCTTTGGCCTTTGTTGCCTAATTATGGGAACTGTCAATCAGATCCCAGCTTATGTGCCAGGGCTTCTCACAAACACCTATGCCTCTAACTCTAAGGAGTCTGACACTGTCTTCCAGACCCCAATCTGCATACACATGTAAACACACACACACACACACACACACAAAATACCACTAAATCTTTATCTGTCAAAAGTCATTGTAAGTATTTTCTATCTACATATCCTGAAAGTTGGCATTTATTTCTCTTCCTGATAGGCTGGGAGTTATATACAGTTATAGAGGAATTATATAATTTCTGAATATAAAAGAAATTCTTGTAGGAAACGTCGGCTATGTAAGCAGAGACAATGCAGCTAACTAGCTACTAACACAACCGCCCAGAGGCTGTTAATAGTCTCGGTCTACTTCTTTCCAGATGTATTTCATTTCAGTGATATTTTATTTGAAAGTTTCCTCATCCCCATGACAAGGAATGCAACAAACACGCTGAGGAGCTGCATGTGGTTTCAAGCTTCGAGCAAAAACGCCATCCTGCCAGCCACAAGCACTTCCATGGAATTTTTGGGCGCTACTATTTTCCTTTTCCAAGAAAGCATGCTATAATTTCGGATATTTAAGTTACCCAAGCTTCCACGAAGGGGTCTCCCTTCTAAAGTGACCTCAGAATTCTCAGAAAGATAAATACTTTGAACTTGGGGAATTCTGAAGGAGGGATTTCTATGCGACCAAAACAGTAAACTAACGGGCTCTTCTCTCAGCCCCTGCAGGTTTCAGCCGAGGCAGCTTCGGGCTGGTCACAATTTCCAAGCTATGACTGCTCAACTGTGAAATGCTTGGGCTCAGTAGCGGGTGTTGTTATTAAGATAGCAATTAAGGGGCTTGGTGTGGCAGTGCTTGCCTTAATCCCAGCATTCAGGAGGCAGAAGCTGGTGGATTTCTGTGAACTGGAGGCCAGCCTGGTCTACACGGTGAATTATAGAACAGCCGCGGCTATATAGAGATCCCTGTCTCAAAAACAAAACAAAACAAAACAAAACAAGACAAAGCAAAGCAAAGCAAAGCAAAGCAAAACAAAACAAAACAACCTCAAAGAGCAGCACAAGCACAGGAAATGATAATTGCAACTGAAGAACTGAAGTGTGATAAAGCTCAGGGCATCGATGACCTGTGAAACACACACACTCCACGTCCTCAGGAGCTCGGGGAAGAAAGGACCTCTTACAGGTCTGCAAAGCACTTTCTCATCACTAGTATGTGGTCTTTCCACCAGCATATGAAATCCTGAATGAAAGAGTTTTCTTCTCTTCATGTATTAGTATATCCCATGGCTTGTGAACCTCAAGATTAAATCAACTTGCCATGTCAAAAATGTTACACCACAGGAAGCTTAGGAGACAGTCTTGTGGGGGCTTTTACATACATTAATATAGATACAGCTATATGGAGTAGAGAACTATCTAGCTTGGAAGCCAGGAAAACAGTTTCCTAGTTTGGTCTGTTGGTTACCATGTGATTTCGACTAAAGAAATGTGCCTGTCTGATGAGGTCTTTCCCAGTTCTAAAAGTGCATGAACTTTGACCTTTGCAATGGCAAATTCAATATCTGCTTTTTGAGAGGAGGGGTTGAGCAAACTGTTCGCTCAATATACACTTGCCATCAAAGACAGGCTTCAGTTCTCTGCACTATCTGGTAATATTTGGAATTTGTTAAATCATTAACAGTCAGTTGTTTACAGCTTAGATTCTGACAATACTCTTTGATGTTCGTTAATTATCATGCATGTTTTAAAATGAGCTCCGAACCACTTCTCTGCCTAATTAAACCTCATTGAAAATTGTTGAATTTTAAAGAAACATTTGATTTGCAAAAATAAGTTATACATTCAGTAATCTTCAGCATTTCACAAAAGACCCAGAAATGTTTTTAAGTAAGGTAAAGTGAATGGGAGATGCCCTCAACTAAATAGCGTAAAATTTGGAAGGCATCATTTTCAAACCATGCTCTTTGTGTTCATAAATTCCTCCTGATAATATTTATCCCGCTATTTTAATGGCCATTTACTCTCTTATTTAAAAGTTTATAAAATATCTGTAAACCTTAAAAATTAATTGAATTACCTAAGAGATCATGAATAAATTACTCAGTGGTATGATTTTTGGTGAACCTGTCAGAAAAAAAAAATGGTGAGTTTCTCTCTCTCTCTCTTTTTACTTACTTTTTTAAAAATAAAAATAGAGGTATGTTTCCAAGGGCACACAAGGACAAGGTCCACTTAATATTTATCTCTTCCAGTTATCAGTTAAATATTCATATAGACATTCATTTGAAGACATACACACCTTAGATTATGTCTTTACAATGATAAGAAAGATTCAGACATGCTGATATGTAAATTAGTGGAAACATATTATTCTCTTAGTTTCATTTCTTCTGTGCTGTGACAAAGGCAACTTAGGGGAGAGAGCATTTATTTTGTTCACAGTTCTAGGTTAGCCCATCACTGTAGGGAGGTCAAGGTGTCAGGACCTCTGATCGTATCACATCCACTCAGAGAGCAATGAATTAGTGCATGCATGTGAGGAGTTAGCTTGTGCTCTCTTTTTCTTCTCTCTCTCCTTCCCTCTCTCTCCCTTTATCTGTCACTTTCACCCCTCCTCCTTTCTGTCTCTCTGCCTCTGTCCTTCTTTGTCTCTCTGTCTCTGTCTCTCTGTGTTTTCCTCTCTCTCTCTCTCTCTCTCTCTCTCTCTCTCTCTCTCTCTCTCTCCCCCTCTCTCTCTCTCTCTCCTCTCAGCCTGAAGCCCATCCCTTGAACTGGTACCACCCTTACTCAGGGTGGATCTTCCCACATTAATCTAATTAAGGTAATCTCTCACAGAGAAGCCCACAGGGTGACCTACCCTAGACTCCCCAGGATTTTCTAGAATGCATCAAGATAAAATTAAAATTGACCAAGACATCTTCTGATAAGTTCTCTTGAAAATATATGTATGTAACATTCATATAAGTGGAAGTAGAAAAAGACATATAAGCTTAGTGTACACTCATACAAAAAGATGCTTATTGGTGGTTACAGTTGTATACCTTTGAGAGATAATATTTAAAATATTTTACCAGATGGAAAAAAGGCTCCACTTACAAGCGTATGACATGTACCCATGTGCATACATTGCCTCTGTAAAAGAACAAAGGAAATCAGTCATAGTGACTGGCACATCACCAAAAGGCCTTGTTTGTTTGTTTTGAGGTAGGGTCTTACTATGTAGCTCTGGCTGTCCTGGAACTCACATTGTAGGCCAGGCTGGCTTCAAACTCACAGAGAGCCACCTGGTTCTGCCTCCCAAATGCTGGGATTAAAGGCATGTGCCTCTACTTGTGTCCTAAAAGTTTATATTTTTATTTCATAGACTTGTTTTAGAATGATTTTTAGATTTATAAGAGAATTGTAAAGATGAAAAGATTTCCCATAAACCCTTTGTAACCTCTCCTGTTATCAATATTTGCTACCGTCATAGTGCATTTGTTCAACTAGATGGACCTGTAGTTAATATTATAGCCCAAGAGTTAGCACTCACAACCCTCCAGGATTCACTCAGATTCTATATGTTCTACTGTACAGCCTAAGAAAGTCATACATTTATTTATGTTATAAATTTATTAAAGTTATAAATTTATTTATTGTGATAATACCAGGATATTTTCCTTGTACTAAGATTTTTCTATGGGATTCATAGGTTCAGTAATTGCATTACTTGAGAGCTGGAGGTATGATGACCGTCAGTCCACAGCCAACTTGGACTACATAGCGAGACTCTATTTCATTCATATTTCCTCTGTGCTCCAGATACTCATGTACTTCTATTTCCACCCTTGCATCCATGAACTTTTATTATTGGCATAGCTTCTTGTTTCCAGAATGTAATGTATTCATAATCACATAGAATATGGGCTTGCCATACTAGCTTCTTTCACTAGTAATATGCAGTGAAGTTTCCTTTGTGTCTTCTTATGGCTTGATGGCTGGTCTGGTATTTTAGCACCAAAAAAACAATTTCATTCTCTGGGTGCATCTTGTTTATTTACCTAATTTAAAAATCACCTTAGTTTTGTTCAGGTTTTTGCAATTATTTTTTTAACTAATTAATATATTTATTTTTTCAAATTGTAATTTTTACTTATTCACACAGGGGTTATAAACACAGAAAGGCAGGACATGGGGTAAGGGATGACACTGGAGTGTGGGTGTTCAGGGGGAATACAGATAACTTTCAGAACAGGGTATTGGCTGGGTGAAGGTTCAGGGGACAGGTCACTATGACTCTGCCTATGACTCATTTGTCCTTATCTAAGTTGGTATTGTCTGCCAAGGCTACCTATTTACAAGGTCTATGACTACTCGGGCTTGTAAATTTCCACAAAAGCTGCCTGTTTACAATAGCTTATAGCCATCTGTTTCAATGTTTATCCACAGAGACCCAAGACTTGGTGTTAGTGTACATGTATGACAGGCCTAGTGCTGATTTTAGGCCTATGGCTGATTTTAGGCCTTCAGTGTGTAAGCAGGGCTGCCCCTGACATCTCCAATTATAAATACAGCTGCTCAAAAGATCTGTGTGAAAGTTTGGGGGTAGTTGTAAATTTATGACTTTTTCTAGTAACTATGAAGGAATTCAATTGTCGGATTCCACGAGATGAGCTACAGTATATTTAATATTGTGTTAGCTCCTAAGCCGACTTTAAAAGTAGCTGTGTCATTTCTGTCACTGTTTAAACTGATAACGTGACAGCTTTAAGGGGAAGGTTTTTATTGTAGATATTCAAGAAAGAATAGTCAGAGACATATGGAAGAATTGAGCAGAAAGAGAAAGTAGGAGATTGAACATAGCCAGTAGACTGGACATGGCAAGGGCTATCTGCAAGAGAGAGGAGAAAAGGCTAGAGAACGGAGAAAGTGATGAGAGAATCAGGAAGAGCAAGACAGAGACATAGAGAGACAGAAAGAGAGACAGGGAGACACAGAGAGAGAAGGAAACAGAGTCAGAGACACAGAAATAGAGACAGAAAGAGTGAGACAGGGCTACACACACACAGGACATAGCAGGGTTATAAGGAGAATGTGTAGCTGTGCGGGTGAAAGCCTATAGGTTATAGGGAGTTTACTGTGAAGGAGGAGGTGAGACTGGCATGAACTTTGAATGTGTGACAAGTACTTGTGATACTGAGGCAACTCAGGGGCCAGCATGGGCTTTGACATGTTAATAGGTGCCGTAGATAGTCATATGCCTCTTCCCATAGGTAAGGGAAATGACTCCTTAGAGGGGAACCCAATGCACAGGTTCCTGAGTCTTTTATCTAATTACTAGAAATCCTTCTGAATCCTACAGGTTGAGCTCATTTGTGTCTTTGAAATGCTTTGGCTCTCGGAGTTTGGGGGGCTGCAGTTTCTTTTGGACCTGACAGTCACCACCAGCAGTGACTGGCAAGTTGGTTAATCTATACTGTTAGCAGCATTAGGGGCAAATAAGATTGGGGATGAATAAATTTTCTTTGTTTTGATAAAAAAGTTATTTAAAACATCAATAAAGTTGGTAAGACAATTAGGTAAACTAATCATAAAAGGGACAAAAATTACCAAATAAATGAAAGAAGTAATAATGGGTTGATAAAAGTCAGAAATAAGAAAAAAGAAAACAACAAAATTCCACTAGCTGTGTGAAATCACATTTGAAAATCTGGAAGAGAATATCTTTTTGCCTACAAACATATACTATGCCCCAACCCCTTAGCAAAAATCACAGATGTTAAAAACAAAACAATGTCCTAAACAAAGCAATAGGGTTTGGAGCCTATTTATTTCTATGTAGAGGGAAGATAGACAAGACTATTGAAAGAGTACCATTACCCCCAAATTATTTTTGTGATGTGAACATTATATTGATTTTTAAATCTGAGAACTCATAAAGCAAATGGCCTGCCATAGTGATAATGGACTAAACCTCAGAATATAAGCAATCCTCAATTAAATGCTATATTTTATAAGAGTCGCAGTGGTAATGGCATCTCTTCACAGTAATAGAATTTGACTAAGGCAGAGGGATATATGACTATCTCTGAAATGTGTGTTTCAGTCTGAGAAACAACACTCTGACTACTTGGAAAACATTTGAAACTTTTCACTAAAGTCAGAAAGTCAGTTCCTTAGAAATGTCAACTCACTAATCCACTGTAGCTTTGTAAGGGATGTCTTTGTGCCATCAGAAGTAAGCTTGAGAATTGGGAAGAGGTAATTTATCCATCAGCATAAGAACTAGTAAGTATTACAATGTCTGCACAAGTGAATACTATGTAGCAAGCAAGAGGATCCTGAAGGCCTTCCTGTGGTGGAATCTCTAAAACACAGTATCCCTGTTTCTGGTATCCAACAACAACAGTGAACAACTTGATTCAATTCTTTACAAGTCTCCAAAGGGAAAAAGTACTGTAAGACAGTACAAATGTGGTTCTGTGGAGTGCTTACTTTCAAAGGAACCATAAGGGGAAATGGTTTTGTTGGGGCACAGATCACAATGTCTTTCTTAAGCTGATGATGTATATATGCCCAAGGCCTCTTTTTGCAGCTATTTTTCAAGCTATATGTTCACTATGTAGTGATTTTACAATTAAAACAAACTATTTTTAATATATTTTCTCTA